GAGTAGAAGATACCGGGGAGTCTTGTTTGTCTGGCAATACTTTTGAAGAGCCAGAAGCCGCAGACGCGGATAATTGTCGTTTTCTCTCCGCTACAGTCATTGCTTGCGATTGCACTGGTTTTTGATGCCTTGGTAGCGACTGGTTATGACCAGAAAGAGGACTGGATGAGAGCTTAGGCGCCATTTGGCGCTTATTGGAGGTTGAGGTTGGTGAGGAAATTGAAGGGCTAGAAGTGCCTGTAGAGGATGCGGTGCGAGAAGCCGATTGGTTCGACTGGCGTCCCCTGAAGCGACGGGAAACTGAAATTTCGTTCTCTTCAGTATCTTCGTCCGATGCATCTTCTTCATCCGGATCACGAATCCGCTCTAATTCCTCCTTCAAGATGTAACAATAATATGAAAATAAAAAATCTAATTTAGTGACGACAGTCGTAGTTTAAGAATATGAATAAATACATTTGTAGATTTTTCGAAAATACATACTCATTGTTACACATGACATTTTTTCTATCACTATCAACAATTATATTTGGACTGAACAGGTAATAAGTCTCATTGTGAATAGAAGTGCCTAATTGAAAAAAATGAATTCGCATACAAAATAGGTATAACACATCATCCGTATTGGCAAAAAATAGTGTAAAAAACTAGTGAACAGAGTTTGCCTTAATTCCGATTGACAAAGTATTAAATATTCAAAATAATGGCTAAAGGACATTAATCCATATTCTCCCTTGCAACACAATGACTAATGTGGTAGTCTGCCTCATCTAGCTGTATGCTTCAGTGTCAATAATGTGATCTTTAAAGGATATTGCGGTTAAAAAAGCTTGATGATAAATATACGTCATTTAGTATCATGATGTACTATCTACATGCTGTGGCAAATATATATCAAAATAAATCAATATTAGAAAAACAGTTAAATGAAAGATGCAAATCTAAAATGTTTCATTGTGTAGGAAGCTAATAAAACTAAATTAGGACAAGAGTGACGTATTATTGGTGAAAAAATCTATTTAAAGCTGATAAAACAATCCCAAAAAAATATATCATATACTTCAATGTTGGAGGAGATAGAGAGAATTATAA